AAATAATCAAACAAATAAACAAATAAAGCAATAATTAATTAAGCAATCATTTGCTTTTTTGTTGTTGTTTTGTTTTTGTTTATCGAGACAGGGTGTCTCTGGAGCTTTGCAGCTTATCCTGGAGCTCACTCAGTAGACCAGGCTGGCCTCAAGCTCAAAGAGATCCACCTGCCTCTTCCTTCTGAGTGCTGGGATTAATGGTGTGTGCTGCCACCACTGATCACAATTAATTTAATTAAAGAAAGAAGGAAAAGGAAAGGTGTTTCTTAACTGCTTGAGTGCTGCTGAAATGAAATTCCACACAGAGAAACCTTGTCTCAAGGCAAAACAAAACAAAATAAAACCCCCCAATTAAACAAACGCCTTAGTAAATAAATACATTTCAAAAATAATAAAAATAAGTTTTAAAAACTGTAACCCTGCCCCTTAAGTCTTGTGATTATTTCATAATTGAAATATAATTGACTTTAAAAAGTCCCCTAAATCCTGAAAAGTCTCAGATCTTGGGAACAGACATTTCAGAGCACTGGATGCTCTTGCACAGACCTGAGTTTGAGTCCACAGCCATCTGTAACTCCTGTCCCCAGAGATTTGAGGACCTCTTTTGGCCTCTAAGGTACTGAATACAAATGATGCATAAATATGCCCCTACGAAAAACACCCATACACATAAAATAAAAATGGAAAAATGGAAAGGAGTTTTAACTTATTTTATTTTATGTACATTAGTGTTTTGCCATTGGTGTCAGACCCTCTGGAACTGGAGTTCTGGACAGTTCTGAGCTGCCATGTGGGTGCTGGGAATTGAACCTGGGTTGTATAGAAGACCTTGTCAGTGCTCTTAACCTTTGAGTCATTTCTCCAGCCCCAACAGTTTTTCTGTGTAACCCTGGCTACCTGTCTTTCCCTCCAAAGTGCTGGAATTAAAGGCCTGTGTCCCCAAACCCAGGTATAAAAACATTTTTAAAAGTAATTAAGTTGGGGACAGAGAGATTGCTCAGTGTTAAGAACACTTGCTGATGTTGCAGAGGACTTGGGTTCTGTTCCCAGCATCTACATGGTAGCTCATAAACATTTATAACTCCAGTTCCAGGGACTCAGATGTCATCTTCTGGGTTCCATGGTACTGCACACATATGATGCACTAGATGTGTGCAGGCAAACACTTATACACATAAAATAAAAATAACAAATGAATCCTCTTAAAAATGAATAATAATCTCAACTCTCTTAACTATAAACTCCTATCAATCCAAAATGTGTTCTATATGTCTGTTTCAATATGTCAGTTTCAAAAGTAAAGTACCAGGGCACAGTTATAACCAAATCAAAGCAAACCCATGGGAGACAATGTCACTAACTCAGTGTCTGATACATTGGACTCAGGGTCTTCTGGGATCAAAGAGCTTAGGCCACTTCACTTCCCCACCTCTGCCATTCACAGCACACTCGATGTGTCTTGCTAGCCCAGGCCAGCTTCAATCCATATCTGCCGCTGTCCTTGGTGATCATGTCCCGATTCAGCCATCTGCAATATGCTGGGGCTTCCATTGCAACTGAGGCTACACCTTCACCAACGGCCTTCAGGACTCCTTACAGTATCAAGTCTCAGCCCCTCTCCATTACCACTTCAATCCTGGGGTCTCTATTAAAAGGCTACCTCTTCACTAATGACTTCTCTACCCTTCACCTTTCAGGGTACCAAGCCTCAGCCACTTTACTTGACCACCTTTATAACTTCAAAACCAGTACTCAGTTGGCTGGCAGCTTGATGTACAAACCTCCTCTGAACCACAGAGTCTGTTCTCTGACCCTGAAGAAACCCTTCCCAGAACATTTCACATCAGTGATGTTAGTCTCTTTTATCCGTAGCTGATTTGTCAATGTCAGCTAACCAGTATCAACTGTCTAGCAAAGCAAAGGTTCCCTTTTAGTGGTACTAGTATCTTGTTCATCACAATTGATTCTTCAGCCCAGCTGACCAGAAACCAGATTCTCAATTCAAAAATATCACAAGGACTGCCCTGATGGTTGTTGCTTTCCCCTCAAAGTTCACAAGGCAAGTCTTTATTGTCTGTATTTCTCTCAACACTCTATCTTCCAAGTTCCCATGGAGCAGAAGATCAAGCTTTGAGCACTCAATAACTTTTCTAACCTCAAGTTACAGACAAAAACTAACTGCTTCAAGCACTGTACCCAGTTTTATGTGGTATGGAATTCAGACATTCATGAATGCTTGACCAGTACTCTGCAAGGTCAGCTACAACCCTAGCCTAAGATAATGGCTTTGTTTGTTTGTTTGTTTGTTTGTTTGTTTGTTTTTCCAAGACAAGGATTTTCTGTGTCCTGAAACTTGCTTTGTAGATCAGGCTGGTCTTGAACTCAGAGACCTGCTTGCCTCTGTCTCTTGTGTGCTAAGATTAAAAGGTGTGACACCACTGCCTAGCAGAGACAATGGCTTTTAAACAGAATTTTCTCCTGCCCTTTCAAGAGCTGTTATTCTTTTATTTATGTACTTAGTAGGCTTTTCTTACTTCCTCCTGGAAATGTGGTCACACACAAGTGCTTAGAGAATTCTAGACACAGGGTTTCATGGGTTTTCTCCTTAATCCAAAAGAGAAACCTAAGGCAAGTTGGGCTACCTGGACTGGGGTTCTGCAGAAGGTCTGACGTGGACACACGGCAGGAATTTGGAATGACTTGGCTGGTTGGCTTTGTACCCAAAGCTTTAAAAACAAACAAACATATATTAGCTCTACCTATTTTTGATTAGAAAACAATAAGTACCCAGCAAGATAATATAATTATTCAATATACAGAGAAGCCAGAGTGACATGCCAGACATATTATGCAGAGGAATTAAGAGGGAAGAGTGAAAATGAGAATTATTATTTCATAGGGCACTCCAAAGACACAAGAAAAGAACTAGGCATGGTGAAACACGTTTTGTAATCTCAGGACTTGGCAGTGGAGGCAGGGAGGTCAAGAGCAGCATAAGGACTCATGGGACAGTCTCAAAAACAAAGCAAAGGGCTGGTGAGATGGCTCAGTGGTTGATAGCACTTTGCTCTTACGAAGGCCCCGATTCAGTTCCCAGCAGCCACGTGCTGGCTAACAACGATACCTAAGACCAGTTTGCAGAGGATCTGACACGTTCTTTTCACTCTGCACATGGAGCAAAGACAAACACTTAGGCAAAACACATGTCTGCGTAAAATAAAGCTAAGTTTTACCAAAAAGAAATCTCTCCTCGCTTGAGAACTGGCACAACTGCTGAGCCAGGACAAATCATCCCCTTCTTCTGAGGCAGCAACATTTAACTTGAGGGCTTGCCCTGTTTTGCTGTTCATTCATCCCCATGTGCAAAACCCTCTTTACCTCAATGCCTTAACATTCACCACACAGAAGCTCTCACCTGTAATCACTTTAAGGTTCTCTAGTGAAGAAAACTATGAAATCCTCAGGCACTTTCTCTGTCCAACCACTTAATGAGGAATTTTTCCCTCAGGCTAACCATCCCAGCTTTTCTTCACGTGTAAAAATTATATTTCAACTCCATTAACACTACATGCCAGAACTAGATTGCTCAGGAAATGGGCCACTTGGAAACTAGAATGACCAGAGACAATAAAGCCCCAAAATAAAAGCAAACATGCCCACACTTGAATAACCAGACCCTGACACAGTGAGCTATGATGTGTTAATAAAAACATTTAGGGTAGCCGGGTGTTGGTGGTGCATGGCTTTAATCCCAGCACTCGGGAGGCAGAGGCAAGCAGATCTCTGTGAGTTAGAGGCCAGCCTGGTTTACAGAGCGAGTTCAGGACAGGCTCCAAAGCTACACAGAGAAACCCTGTCTAAAAAAAATTTTAAAAAAATTAGGGCCTAACTCCAATTTACCCATGACACTGGATTCCAAATGGCCAGTTTCAAGAAAGACAACTGGTAATGTAAAATGTACTGCTTGACAAGGTAGAGAAAAATCAACCTATCCTCTTCATTTATTGAACCTAAACAAATGATACATGAGGCAAGATTAATAATTCCTCAACTGTTATAAAAGACTTTCATCCCTGCCCCTTCCATTCAGCCTGTACAATCTACTATATTATACATCATGTTTAATAAACACCAATTTTGCCTTTTTCTATCTTTTTTTTCCAAGCCAAACCTTATCCAGCTTTATTAAAGATACTTTCCATAAACAATCATGGTATTTCAGGCAGGACATGGGCAGACAATCATTAACAGTTTACAAGAACTTCCAAACTCCCTTCTTGTATAGACTACCAAAATCAGAAAGCCACTATAAAACCCAGTGAAGTCTTCATTCAATGCTTTGAAAAGGGGAAGAGCTTAGAGTGAGGGTTGACATTTCACATTAAGGATGTTATTTAACAACTTTTCACAAGCCGACCCTGACTTTCAGAAAACGAAATGAAAACGGCAGAATTATCATTCTGAAGATCCACAATCTTGTCTATAAAAGGAACCGATGCTCCTTTGAGGATAATTATCACTGCAAAGTCCAGATTGCCCAATAGACCAGCAAAACCAATTTTAGGGGGTCAGGTTCCAACAGGTCTCTGGTTTTAAGGGAGTTAACTCTATGTTGATGGTACAGGGGGAAGAGGATATAAAAAATGAATTTAGTTTTCCCACACAAGGCATTCTTTGCCATGGTGGCCACATATGTCAACACCAGGACGTCTCTCCTGAGCCAAGAGGAGACCTTTAAATTGTCAAGGAGAGATGCTTTCATCAACCATCATCAATCCATCTTGGGAGACATTTTGTTAGTGACACATGTTCCCCCCCCCCCCCCCCCACCAAAACAATGAAGTGTTCTGTGTGCTAGCAACACAGCTTAAAAAAAAAAAAAAAAAAAAAAAAAAAAAAAAAAAAAGTAAAACAAGATTCTGCATTTTTATAAAACTTGATAAAAGAGTGGTTCGACTGGCGGTCAGTTCTCTCTCTTGTGTTGTCTTCATTCCTCGTTCCCGGTCGCGGGCGGCGGTGGCTACACGGGTGGCAGCGCGGTCCCTGCGGGAGGCGCTGCACAAGCCGATCAGCGGCCGCGAAGCGTCAAGCCCAGCGCGGCGGCGGCGACTAAGCAGCCAACATGGCGGCGGCGGCGGCGGCGGGCCCGGAGATGGTCCGCGGGCAGGTGTTCGACGTGGGGCCGCGCTACACCAACCTCTCCTACATCGGAGAGGGCGCCTACGGCATGGTTTGCTCAGCTTACGATAATCTCAACAAAGTTCGAGTTGCTATCAAGAAAATCAGCCCTTTTGAGCACCAGACCTACTGCCAGAGAACCCTAAGAGAGATAAAAATCTTGCTGCGTTTCAGACATGAGAATATCATCGGCATCAATGACATCATCCGGGCACCAACCATTGAGCAAATGAAAGATGTATATATAGTACAGGACCTCATGGAGACAGATCTTTACAAGCTCTTGAAGACACAACACCTCAGCAATGACCATATCTGCTATTTTCTGTATCAGATCCTGAGAGGATTAAAATACATCCATTCAGCTAATGTTCTGCATCGTGACCTCAAGCCTTCCAACCTCCTGCTGAACACCACTTGTGATCTCAAGATCTGTGACTTTGGCCTTGCCCGTGTTGCAGATCCGGATCATGATCACACAGGGTTCTTGACAGAGTATGTAGCCACACGTTGGTACAGAGCTCCAGAAATTATGTTGAATTCCAAGGGTTATACCAAGTCCATTGACATCTGGTCTGTGGGCTGCATCCTGGCAGAGATGCTCTCCAACAGGCCTATCTTCCCCGGGAAGCACTACCTTGACCAGTTGAATCACATCCTGGGTATTCTTGGATCTCCATCACAGGAAGATCTGAATTGTATAATAAATTTAAAAGCTAGAAACTACTTGCTTTCTCTCCCGCACAAAAATAAGGTGCCATGGAACAGGCTGTTCCCAAATGCTGACTCTAAAGCTCTGGACTTACTGGATAAAATGTTGACATTTAACCCTCACAAAAGGATTGAAGTTGAACAGGCTCTGGCCCACCCATACCTGGAGCAGTATTATGACCCAAGTGATGAGCCCATTGCCGAAGCACCATTCAAGTTTGACATGGAATTGGATGACTTACCTAAGGAGAAGCTCAAAGAACTCATTTTTGAAGAGACTGCTAGATTCCAGCCAGGATACAGATCTTAAATTGGACGAGGGCTCAGAGGACTGGACGCGCTCAGATGTCGGTGTTCCTCCCAGTTCTTGACCCCTGGTCCTATCTCCAGCCCGTCTCAGCTTACCCACTCTGACTCCTTGGAGCTGCTTGGAGGGGCAGCTTCTGGTAGTAGTGGCTTTTATACTTTCACAGAATCCCTTCATCCAGAGATGTCTTCTGACACCAGTGCCCTGCAGCAGTGTGCACTTCGGTGCACTCACTGCCTACTCTTCTTTAGTCACTAACTGCTTTCTGGTTTGAAAGATGCAGTGGTTCCTCCCCCTCCTGATTCCTTTCTACATGTCATCCTGCTGAACCATGCAGCCTCACCAGAGCGGGAATCTTTCCAAACTGGCCCCAGTCGCTGGCATCTCACTTTATACAGTGAGGAATGCTATTACATAAGGCACTTTAAGTCAGTGACAGCTCCAAATTTGCACTTCATCTGTTTGACTAGTAACTGTCTACCCAGAACAGGAGCTTGTAGACATCCCTGGATGGTATTGCAGGCTTTAGGGGCAGGCACTTCTGTCACAGGAGTCCTTTGGGGGCATTTTTCTATGTCTCATGTTAGTCCCATATTTAAGGTATCGGATTACTATTCTAGGAAGCATTTTACCAGCAGTGTAATTCTGTTGTAATGGAGGTATAGCACTTGCCAAAATGTTCCATGCTGTCCTTAGCCAGAGACTTAAAAGTAACAGTTCTTCTGCTTGTCATTTGCTGCAAGATGCACAAGCACTGAGCTGTAGAAGTTTCTGGTGAAGTAGAGAGCAAGCTGACCTAGATGTTGACGGTGAAGCTCCATATATGCCTTGAGCTGTTTTACACACAAGGCTGATTTTGTAACCGCATTCACTGCCTTGGGGTTTAGCTAAGAGGAACACTGCATCTTTAAATGAGAAAGTGTACAGTTCTTCTCCAAAGCATGCCAGCATCTCAAGCTCACTTTTCAGCGATGTAATGACTTGTAATAAAGCCTTCATGAGTTCTCATCATGAAGCTCTGCTCTGTTGCCAAGTATTGAGGTGTTTCTGGTACTGCTGAATTAATGTCATAAAAGACTAGCAGTAACTGTTCGAGCTCTCTCCTATTTCCTGATCTATTTTGTTCCTGCGCCGTGTGCTGTGGAGTTGATAGTGTTATCCCAGTACAGTGCCTCCTGACTCCCTCACTGCTCTCTGATGAGAAGTTTGCCTTGTTCAGTACTTTCTGTGCTAAAGCTTTCTGTGCAGAGATCACTGTCCAATCATAATTAAGCAAAATTTATTGTGACCTCTGAGTTGTATTCCACAAAGACTGCTATCCAGAAGATGATTTAGGAAAGATAATTTTAGTGTTAGGTTTTCATTTCTTGGCTGTCTTTTTTTTTTTCTTTCTTTCTTTCTTTCTTAATTTTTGACAGTAATGGAGAATGGGTTCTGTAAAGACTGCCTGCTAGAATGAACAGAATGCACTTGTAACTCATGGAAATAAATGTACATCTTTATCTTTACACCGATGATATGATTCAGTGTTGATTTCTCTGGATCGGTGTGTCATAAGTGGACAGTCACAATCAATTTATAATTTGTGCTTCAGGCAAAAATGTTCACCTCACTCCACTCCTCCCCACCCACACCCTGTACTGCCCCACACCCTGTACTGCCCCACACATCTGTTCATGTAAGGTGGCTTAGAAAGATCCCTTTTAGCCAGGCCTGTTGTCGTATACATTTAATCCGAGCACTCAGAAGACAGAGGCAGATGGAGCTCTGAATTGGAAGCCAGCTGGGACTAGCCTCCTCAAAAAGAAAAAGAAAGGTCCTCCCCTCCCTCTCTGAGCAGCAAATGATTCTGACATAGCCCTCTCCATATTATTGGTATTAAGTAGTCAGATGTTATTGACAACGCCCAAACATGTCAAGTTAGAAGCTCTGGTTCCCTCTGAAAAAGGGCCTTCCTGTCTATCCTAGAATTGTGGGAAGGGCTGTTCAGTAGTACCCAATGGTATCTGCTACCAGGCTCAAAGTGACAGTCCCCTCACCTGGCTGAAGGATGGCTGACTCCAACTGGGCTTTGGTGGCACACACCTTTAATCCCAGCACTCAGGAGGCAGAGGCAAGCAGATCTCTGTGAGTTCAGAGCCAGCTTGGTCTACAGAGCTAGTTCCAGGACAGCCTCCAAAGCAATACAGGGAAACCCTGTGTTGAAAAACCAGAGGGGGGGGGCTGACTCCTCAGAAACTAGATCATGATTCTTGCTCTAAGTACCTGCTTTTCACTTCCACACATGAAGCCCACTAAAAGATAAAGAACCCTCTTTTATTGATACACTAATAGTTTTCTTTTTTTTTAAGTATTGACACTTTTCCTACTTGTTTCTTCTTTGTATTTCTAAAGGAGGTATTCATGTTATATTATGAGATTAATTTGCAATCTTCTAAATAAGGAAACCATAGCCTCATCATCTAGGGGACTGAACTCTCTGTGCTTCCCCTTTCTGGTACTGTGAGGTGAGATTGGTTTTGGAATCACTCTCTGCATCCTAGAGTCACTATACCACAATTAGTGCAGCTTTCACTATGTGCATGGCAAATGACACCAGAGAGTCACAGACCCATTATATTGCTTTGGTTCTTCTCACATTTCTAAAGACACACTGGTGACATTGAGTACCTCCGTTATGTACATACATAGGCAAGCTGTCAGGTGGTGGGTTTTTCCACATCTTAGAATATGAGCAGGACATTGGTGAGAACATCCTGCTCTTTTATTTTGTGTGAAGAGACGCCTGCCCAACAATTCAAGTGAGACTGGTGAGAGTTGTGCCCAGGGTTGAGCTAACGCTGACCCACACTGAGGCCTCTCAGTAAAGAACAGTGCAGTGCATGTGTGCTCACGTCATTCCTGCTCCTGTGAGTGGGGCAGTGCAGTGGGGTGGAAGTGACCATTACCTGTGTCTGAGGAATCACAGAGCTCCACTACCCACGCTGCATGCCACAAAGTGTTCAGACCACTTAGAGACTTTCATCTGCTTATGATAACACTTACATTAATATTAATAGTTGCATTTGAATTTTGGTGACTCGTGTAGTATGGTAGCGGTATGTTAATACACATATATGCATATGCTTGGAGTCCTTGATAATTCTTTTATATTTGTAAATCAGTGTTTTGGAACAATCCCAAGTTTAAGGGAAATATTTTTGTAAATGTAATGGTTTTGAAAATCTGAGCAATTCTTTTGCTTAAACATTTTTAAAGCATTTGTGCTTTAAAATTGTGCTGGTGTTTGAAATATGGTCCCTGACCCAAATGAGACACGTGGAAGAGTGGGATAAGTAGTGTGACTATTCAGACTGGGTTGCACCAGGTCTACCTGTGTGCCCTTTGTGTGTGTGTGTGCGCAAGACGCGCGCCATTTATCCCTGCAGAACACTCCAGGGGGTTCTTACATTGCTTTGTATCTGCTTTGTACTGTTGATACCTTTTTGGTATCCCAAACTGCATAGATTATTTAGAATAATGGTAAGTTTAAAAAATAAATGTTGAAGGAAGATTTTATTCAGAATCTAAATGTTTTTTCATTATATTGTTAAACTTGAACATTTATCTGTGGTTTATATGATTTGGTTAATGTGTACAAAAATTGTAAGAGAGGTTTATATTTCATCCTAATTCTTTTGATGATGTACACGACACGTGCTTTTTAAGAGAGATAATTTGAATGTTTATGACACCTGACTTGTAAAAAAGAATTACAAAAAAGTTCTTAGAATCATTAAATTGTGTCACTGAAAAAAAAAAACTTGATAAAAAATAGTATTTCAAACTGTACAGTCACCAGAAGTACACAATTATCAAAATGCACACATCTCACTTGGCATCTACAGCACCTTCAGCTTTCTGTGCCTGGTCTGTTTTTGGCGTCTCCATTTTCTGCAGGATTATTTGCATCCTTGCCAGCATCCGCTTTCCCCTTCTTCCCCTTGGGTACCTTCTCTCCCTTCTTTGCAGGGGCCTTTTTAGGTTTGGGCTCTGGCTTTGGAGGAGCAGGTTTAGCAGACAACCTCGCGGATCTTCTCTGTGGCTCGTCCTTCACCTTGGCTTTATCTCCTTTAGTATCCCCTTCAGCCTTTCTTTTGGGCATGGCGGCGGCGGGGGACGGCGGCGCAGAACGCGGGGCTGCAGCAGTGCGCGGGTTTGGTCCAGCTGGGCGTCGTTCTCGCTGCTTCTTCACACTGCTCCGCCTTTTTCTATCTTATAGTAAATTTATTCACAGCCTTCCTGTTGGTGAACATCTCACTGTTATCCACGCATGGCACTTATTTGCTTAGACAGGGAAACCTGTGTGGGTCTTGTGTGTGCTGTCACAGCCATGTAAGTTCATATGTGCATCAATTCTGTGCCTGGAAGACCATTTCCTTGGAGTCATCTGCCACTTCTAGCTCTTAGAATCTTCCAGCCTCCTCTTGCACATAGATTCCTGAACCCTGAGGATGTGGGTTTGAGAAAGACATCCCCTTGAGGCTGTTACAAAATTTCTCAATCTCTATTCATTGTCCCCTTGTGGATCTATATGATCATAACCATCTATTACAAGAAGAAACTTCTTTGGTGATGGCTGAACAGTAATGCTCTGATCTATGAGTATAGTGATGTGTAATTAGAAGCCATTCCATTACTGTGTTCCTTTAGCAGAATAATAGTGGAGAGTTTTCTGTTAGATAGGGCCCATGGCTTAGCTAGTCTCAGAATCCTGTCAACTTTAGCACTATCAGTTATGGGTTCTATATCATTCAATGAACCTTCAAACAAGTCCAAAAGTCATTGCTTACTCCCATAACATTGGTGCTGCTATTGCACTTTGCATACAGTTCCCTATTGTAGATGGCAGGGTTCATAGCCAGGTAATGTTGATGACTACTTTTCCTGTAATGTACAAAATACTCTTCAGCAACATGTACACTAGTAAGTAAAGGGGTTGTATCTAATTGGGTATCTGGTTGACTTCTCCTGGTTTGATGTAAAAGTAAGTTGTGTCTTCAGTAAAAGGCCTGAAGTTATGGAGGGTAGTTAATAGCCTTGACTCCTGTGATTTTGAGGGGTATATCAAGGATCCTCTTGGCCAACAACTCAACAAGACGCAACCCATTTCTAGAGGTTTTACTTGGTTGCATAAGATGTCTAATTTGGGCACTGCCTCTTCCATTATATGGCAATTATATTTAAATTCCTTTCATATATTTCTATATTTTAGGAAGCATCAACACATAAGTAGGTTTCCATATAGGTTTAAAAAATGCCTTTAGTGTCAGTTGTCCTCCCTCATGTTCTCTACTGGAGTACCTGCACATGTAGTGTTTCGATTATTATTTGTCATAGGGACATTCTTTTCTGGCCCAATCTATTTGGTGTTCTGTGTGCTTTGTGTACCATGATAGGCATCTCTTTCCTTATATTGAGAAAATTTTCTAAAATTTTATTTAAAATATTTTCTGGACAGGCAGTGGTGGTGCACACCTTTAGCCCCAGTATTCAGGAGGCAGAGGCAGGTAGATCTCTGTGAGTTCAAGACTAGCCTGGTCTACAAAGTGAGTTCCAGGACTGATAGAGCTGTTTCACAGAGAAATCCTGTCTTGAAAAACAAAAGTATTTTCTGTGCCTTTGACCTGGGCTTATTCCCCTTCCTCTATACTTAAATTGTTTGTAGGTTTGGTCTTTTCATAGTGTGCCAGATTTCCTGAGTATTTTGTGCCTGGATTTTTTTTATTTGATTTTTTTTAACCTGAGCTGTTTGTTTTACCTTGTCTTCAAGACCTGAAATTCTCTCTTCCATGACTCTCATCATTCTCTCTCATCTATTGTGAGGCTTACATCCAAGGTTTTTGTTTGACAGCTTGTTTTTCATGTCTAGCTGCCTTTCAGTTTGAGTGTTCTGTGGTGATTCTATTTATTAAATTATCCTTTCATGTCTCATATTGTTTTATTTATTCCACCCAGCAGTTAATGATTTCATGCTCTTCATTAAGACATTTGTTTATTCGGAGGGTGGTGATGGTGCCTGCTTTTAATCTCAGAACTTGGGAAGCAGATCTTTATGATTTTGAGGCCAGCCTGGTCTATAGAGCAAGTTCCAAAACAGCCAGACTACAGGGAGAAACCCTGTGTCGAAAAAAAAAAAAAAAAAAAAAAAAAAAAACAAAAAACAAAAACAAAAGACTTATTCATGTCCTCTTTATAATCTTTGAACATATTGATAATTTTTATTTTGAAGTTCTTATCTTAAACTTCAGCTAAGTTGCTTTTCTTGGAGCCTAACACAATAGGATTGATGGATTGATGGATTTGAAGAAGACACATTATTTTTTTGGATTTTTCCATGTCTGTGTTTTTGTGCTAGGATCTAAATATCTGGAGTTATGAGTTATGGTTATGGTGCTTAGAGCTTAGAGCATTCATTGTTGTAGATGTCTGCTATCCTCTTTATTAGACAAATGTTCTACTCTTTGATTGCTGTTGCTCACTCTGTGCCCTAGCCAAGTGTGGCAGCTGTGGGGTCCTTGAGTCCCAGCCAAGTGTGGCAGCTGTGAGGTCTCTAGTAAGGAGCAGTTCTGTAGGTGGATTTCGAGTCATAAATGATGGAGATTGTCTACAAAGAAAGGCTGAAAGGGCTTTTGTAGAAGAACTAGGGAGACTTGGTGTTTACAGCAAGAGGTAGAGTTTCAAGGGGCTTCTGAGAAGAAAGTCTCAGGCAGGCAGGTTGCAGCAGTATTAGAGCTTAATCTTGAAGAGATGAGAACAGAGAACAGGAAGAACCATGAAAGCTGACTACTTCCTCCCAGCCTACTGTGGAAGTTGTGGGTCCATGGCATAGAGAGTCACAACATATTGGAGGTGGCTGGAAGAAAAGTCTGAGAAGGGACCCTATGAAGAACTAGGGGTTCCTAGGTGCACACCAAGAGGTTTAGCTCCTAAGCAATGGAGGAAGTCTGGCTTATCTTTTACTTTTACTTATTCTTTTACTTTTACTTTTTTTTTTAATTATCATAGAAGGGGACTGGAGAGGTGGCTCAGTGGTTAATAGCCTGGCATTTCCCTTCCTAGCACCCACTCAAAAAAAAGTCTTTAAGTCCAGTTCGAAGGCTTCTGATACCGTCTTTGGGCCTCTTTAGACATCAAACATACACATGGTACACAGACACACATGCAGACAAAATGCCCATGCACATAAATTTAAAACAAATTAAATAGCATTCAAGGTGTTCTATGTCATTATGGCATCACATTTTTAAAATTTTATATGTATGGTGCTTTTGCCTGCATGTATGTATATATGTGTAACACATGTGTGCAGTGCCCTTTGAGGCCAGAAGGAGGTGTTGGAGCCTCTGGATCTGTAATTACAGGTGTTTTATGAGCCACCATGTAGGATACTGGAACTTGAACTCGGGTCCTCTGAAAGAGCAGCCAGTGCTCTTAACCACTGAGCCATCTCTCCATTCCCTCCTTGTGGTACTTAAAAAAAAAAAAAAAGTCAATGTGCTTTAGTCATTCTCCTGCATAATCATTTTCATCCCTATTACCTCTAGTTTCCCTTTATAGTTCCCCAAGTTTAATGTCCCATGTGTCCTTTGCTTCCCCCAACCCTTCCTCGAAGAAAAGCTGCATTTTGTGTGTCATATGCAGTTCTTAGGATATAATGAAAAGACAGGATCTCGCTGTGTGGCTCTGGCTGGTTTGGCATGCACTATGCAGCTATACAGACTAAGCCAGCCTTTAACTCACAGAGATCTACCTTCTTCTGCCTATTGAATGCTGGGAATAAAGACATGCACCCCACTCCTGACCTAATAATAGATTTATACCACTGTTTCTAGTTTAGATATCTGGGGGTTAAACCTGTAAATGCCACAAAATACAAACACCAGACCAGCAAACAATAATCTCTGGGACAGTCATCATATCAAGGATCCCATATTAATTAAAATTTGGCTAACTAATTGTAAACACATGGAGATGGATATTACTTAAATCCCCTAACAATAACAAAAATAGATTCTTAGGGTTCACTGTTACTAATGGTGTCTGTGCTAGTATGTTCAGGTTCTTGGCATCTTGTTCAAAGTATTTAAGATGGGCCAGAGTTTGGGGTTGGAGAAATGAGTCAGCGGTTAAGACAGATTACTGCTCTTCCTGGAAAACCGACTTTGATTCCCAGGACCCAGGTCTGGAAACTTACAGACTGCCTGTAATTTCAGCGCCAGAGGACCTACTAGTTCCCTGGGCATACACACACAAGTAGCATATAATCACACAGAAAACATAAAAAGAAAAAAATTTCAATAAAAGAAGGCCCATGGATGTGCGCGCTAAATGACACAAAACGAAAGCTGAGATGGCTTTAGCGATGGCAGAAAGAGAGGCAGCAAACTCTAAAATGTGCTGTTACTTCTGTCATCTTTAGGTCCCGTGCCCAATCCAGCTCCCAACTTTAGCACTGTACTGGCATAATCAAGCTGACAGGTGGCGCTCCTCAGAGGCAGAGGCATCGGTGGTTCCCAGTGCGCTGTAGACCGTTAAGTCCCAGTTCTAAGGGAGAGACAAAGGATTCTGGGAGCTGCGGGCACCCGCTGGCGCCAACTGCTTAGGGGTGCGCTGGTAACTGTCCTACATCCTGGGTCTGGGCCTAGAAAGCGGAGACTCACTCCTCCCGGGGAAGAGGGAGGAAGTGGCCACAGTACCCAGTCCTGGCAGGGAAGTGGCATAGGGCCACTGGCTGCCACAGGAGATTTGGTTGGTTCTGTTGACTGCTGTCAGGTGATCTCACATCAAGCTGAATTTAGTCTGAGTTTGAATTTTAAAGACTGGAAAGGAGGCCCAAAGACCTTTATCAGTTGCCAATGGGGACACCAGATGTACAACTACCTAGTCTGGTAAGGTTCACTCCAGTACTGCATCTATTTAAGGATACTTCAGTCTCTGGTGGTGAAGATGTAGGTGAAAGTTAAGTTTCCTGATAGAAGTTGATTTCCACATTGGTAAGGCTTCTCTCATCAGAAAATTTAGGACAAGAAATGGCTCGAAGAATGTCAAGATAAAACAGTAGCAGTCAGCTCTGGGGCTGTTGAGGACCATCAACATTTGATCCAGGTTGTCTGAATGAAATAAGGAAACAACACTCAAAGTCCTTTAGAAATTCGGGTTTAGCTCCCCCACC